ATAAAAAGAAATGATGAATGTGCCAGGCATTGTGGCTCATGCCTCTAATCCCAGCACTCAAGAGGCAGAGGAAGGCAGATCTCTGAGAGTTCGAGGCTAGCCTGGTCTACAAAGTGAGTTCCAAGACAGCCAGGGCAACTCAGAGAAACCTTGTCTGGTAAAACAAACCAACAAACAAAAAAATTATAGCAATGTAAATCACTTAGTATTGGCCTGACGTCTGATAACTGAAGACATGAATGGTTACTAAGACAGAATCCCCCTCCCTCATAGTCAAATAAAATTTCATTTGCATACTAGTAGTACTTCCAAGATAATACCTGTGCAATAAGAACAATATCTTCTAACATTTACAGTAGAATGCATCTTGAGGGCATTGTACTAAGTAAAGTGACAAAAATTAACTCTAGTGAGACAGAACATGGCAGAACCATTTTCTGTTTTTCCTTCCTCTTTCACTGGAATCTCTCACTTCTGTCCTGTTCATTCACTCACCCCTACCTGGTCTGGCCACCATTTCCTCTCTCTTCACATTCCAGGGCACTTGGATTTGCTCCAGACAGGGGACCAGGTCTGCCTTGCATGCAATAATACCTGTGTATTAGAAAGAGGCAGATGATTTTGCTGGATTCTATAGAACGTACTAGGTATCTAAAAAGATGAAATAATAGAAGTCCTAAGTAAATAGCTCAATGGTGGAAAAGACCCAGTTTTGGTTCCTCGTACCTATGGAGGCTCACATCCCTCTGTAACTTCAGACTCAGGGCATTTGCTGCCTTTTGGGCACTCTGAGTACTCAAATACATGCAGGCTAACACCCATGCGTAAAATAAAATAAATAAAGCTTAAGAAATATTTAGGGAGCATTTTCAGTTTCCAGGCTGAGTTTTGCTTCCTGTTAAGACTGAGTCAAATGCAATGATGGAAATGGAACTTCAGGATTTGGTGGGAATATTATCTCTCTTGGAGTATATCAAACAGAAATAGAACATTAGGATGTGGATAGGAATATAATCAGTTTCTGAAAGAATCCAATGCAATCCTGGAAATGATACTTTGAGATGTGGGTGGAAACACCTACTGCCAGGTCTGTGAATGTATTGTGGACCTGAAAGGAAGCCTTCAAAAGGGAAAACATGATGAAAACATCAAATACCAGGAAGATGTATTAGTTAACATTACCTAGTTTCCTATAGTTTCTAAGACAGCTAACCAGAAAGTATCCACATCTACACAGTAGGTATATACCAAGGATCAGTTAAGAATTCTTTGAGAAAAATATTCTCACCCACAGAGATCAGGTTGCTGTAATTCTCCAACATCACATCAATGTACAAAGCCCTCTGAGCAGAATCCAGGTATTCCCACTCCTCCTGGGAGATGTCCACAGCCACATCCCGGAATGTCAACAGACCCTGAAATGAAAATAAATTTACCATGTATAGAGTACTTTCCTGGATACAAAGAATACAAGAGAAATTGGGCCATTTTTTTCTGCTGTAAATGAAGGAGCACAGCTATTCAGTAAGATGCTTTCTGGAGTAATCACACTCAAAACTGCATTGTCTAACTATGGGAAAATAGGATGACATTATATTCCCAGAAACAATATATTTTTACGGCATATAAGATATAAATTCAAGGTGTAGACAGAGAAATATACCTTTTTATCAAGGCTGTGTTCGTTTAACATAGAATCACAGTGTAGGCATCTCAGACAGAAAACTTGTGATAAGCAAAACTGTGCTTCTAAATACCTCCCTAAAACAGAGACACTGGATCAATATTTTCCAGTTAGGTCTTATTGGACTGTATTCTTTTTTTTTTTTTTTCTTTCTTCGAGACAGGGTTTCTCTGTGTAGCTTTGGAGCCTGTCCTGGAACTCACTCTGTAGACCAGGCTGGCCTCAAACTCACAGCGATCTGCCTGCTTCTGCCTCTCTAGTGCTGAGATTAAAGGCGTGCACCACCACTGCCTGGCCGGACTGTATTCTAATAAGCTCTGGTGAGCTAAGGATCTAGGATCAATGCTCTAGCTACACAATTCTGTAGAGCAAAGAGGCAGAACTTGGGAGGCAGAATCTATGGATGAATTTAATGTCAAAGGGTTTTCAAATACCAGGTGTGGTGGAACACATCTTAAATCCCATTCAGGAGGTAGAGGTAGGCAAATTGCTTTGCATTCCAGGTTTACATAGTGAGTTCCAGACCAAAGCTGCAAAGTGAGACACTGTCTCAATGTAATAAATTAAATAAATAAATAAATAAATAAATAAATAATAAATAAATAAATAAATAAATAAATAACATAAATAAGTGAGTCAGTCACTCTGTCAGAGTTCTGGTTTTCTCACAGTAAGAAGGAAGCAGCAACAATCCATACCACTAATGCTTCCAAACATTCACTATATAATGAGATTATTATATGAGAATATTTTGGCAACCCTGAAGTACATATAAAAACTAGGGCTGGGCACTGGTGGCAACTGGTTTCGATCCCAGAACTAGAGAGGCAGAGGCAGGCATATCTCTGTGAGTTCGAGGCCAGCAACTACAGAGTGAGTTCTAGGATAGTCAGGGCTATAGAGAAACCTTGCCTTGAAAAATCAAACAAACAAACAAGAAAAGGAGAGAAGCAAAGAAACTACAATCTGAATCTGCCAACAAGAGTATCACTTTAGGCCAGTGGCTCTCAACCTCCTTAAAGCTGTGACCTTTTTAATACAGTTCTAGGTTTGCCAAAGGGGTCATGACCCACAGGCTGAGAACCCTGCTTTAGGCCAAGATGACACATAGAATCGCAGTCCTCTGCACTCATTAGAGAGCTTAAACAGTCTGCATGAGGCTCACAGACAGTACGATCTTGTCTAAGACTACTTTTTCAAAAACAATTCAGTGACAACAGCAAGGCACTCCAGGTAACTGAGTCTGAATGTGCACTTTCAGAAAAGTAGTTTAAGGAAATCTCACAGAGTCCTCAAATGGAGCCTCTGCTGAACACGGCCCTCCTCACTGATATATAAGGATACACCCCCACATTCTCTGTAGCAATCGGGTATCAACACATATCTCTGATTATCAATCACAGTGGAAAACATTTTCAGAATTACGGGTCTTGAATTCATTTACCCTTACAAATATAAGCTGGGAAGGACAGATGAAGGGAAGGCTGTGCTACCGAGGCCATGTACATTTAATCAGTTAACCTTATCTGTCAGAAAAGGAAAGGAAAAACAAACTTTTAGATAACATAAACACATATTTAAAGGCCTGCAGTGTTTTAATATATAACACTTCTATGGATGAGAAGTCAGCATGACACTGACCTGGAATGTATTTACTGGAGAACCAGCCATTTTTCTCCTTCTTGCACTTTTGTACCAAGGTGTCAAAAAGATAAACCTGAAATTTATATTAAAAGCGGTTAGGAACAAAGCCATATACCACATAAAAAGATCCAAACACTAGAATAATACCAGACGTCTTGTCAGTATTCCTACAGCCAGCAGACTATGAAACAGTGTGTTTAAAGCCACGATAGAAAACAACCATTAACCATATCATTGCACCCAGGCAGCATGTCCCTAACAGTTGGCAGACAGGTAAGGGCATTTGGAGATAGTCATGAATTAACAGGTCATTTCACCCAAACATACTGAAGATAATAAGAAGAGCAGACTATGCACACAAGAATGAGAGAAGAGAGGTTGGGGGAGGGGGGACTGAGCATTTAAGAGCACCAGCCGCTCTTCCAAAGGATGCAGGTTCAAATCACACGGCAAACTACAATCATCTGTAACTCAGGGAGATATGATGCCCTCAGGCCTTTCAGGCACCGGGCTTGCAGATAGTGCATCCACATACACGCAAGCAAAACACCCATACACACAAAATAAAATAAAACAAAACAAAACATAACAAAACCAACAGGGAGAGGAATTATCTAACAGAATACAGGAAGTGAGACACGTGTGGGGAGTAAGTGAATATAGGACAGCTGGGAATTAATAAGTCAAGTACAACATAGCCAACCAGCAAAGCACTGTAACAAAGAAGGAAAAAATAATAGTACCAATAATGCAACCACCTATAACACCACCAACAAAATTATAGGGAAGACAAATCCTACAAACAAAGTCTGGGTAGAAACAGAAATGAAATGTCACCTGACAAAGTTCAGTTCAACAAAATCTCATGATGAAATTCCTAAAGGAGCTATGAAGAAATGGAACATAGCTCAATACCATAAAGGACATGTTTATCAAACCTAGGCCAACAGTACAATACGGAGAGAAAAACGAACATCATTGGCAGGAACACTGGAACAGGACAAAGGTGCACACCTTCTTCAGTTTTGTTTAATGTGGAGCTATGACGGCTAGCAAGAGAAATTTGAAAAAGACCAAGCAAAAGAGATAAGATCGGGCATAAAGGCACCAACGTGCTCTTTTCCACAATGATGTGATCACAGAGGGCAAACTCCCTACTGATAGCTGGGTGTGGTGGCGCACAACTTAATCCCAGTACTCAGGAGGCAGAGGCAGTTGGATTTCTGTGAATTCGAGGCTAGCCTGGTCTACAAGATGAGTTCTAGGACAGCCAGGGCTGTTACATAGAGAAACCCTGTCTTGAAAAACCCCCTGAAAAAACAAAACCAAAATAAATAAATAAATAAATAAATAAATAAATAAATAAATAAATAAAAAACCAAAAAAAAAAGACATAAAAACCTCCCTACTGACAACATGAGGAACCCTTAGATTTGTCAAATGCTTGAAGTAATGTTGAAAATGTAAAATTAACATGTAAAATCACCGCTTTTTCCATATATCAATAATGAGGATTTTAAAAAACAAATTAAGAAACTAACCCATAAACATTACCTTAAAATACACCCAGGAGACAGGCATGGTGACACAAGCCTCTGATTCCAGTGCTCAAGAAACAGAAATAGGTGGATCTATGTGAGTTCAAGGCCAGAACAGTCAGAGCTACATAGTAAGACTCTTTCTCAAAAGGGATAGATAGATAGATAGATAGATAGATAGATAGATAGATAGATGATAGATGATAGATAGACAGACAGACAGATTAAAAACCCACCCAGGAATACTCCTAAAGAATAAGGTGCTAATTAACTTTGACTTCTATGATGAAAAATTTAAGGCACTCAAAAAAGGTGAAAAAGATAATAAACAATGAAATGCATTTCCAGCACACCAATGAGGGAAAATGACACAAGACACAGAATAAACGTATATATTACAACAGCAGAGACTGATCTATTAAAGCTGTGATCTCAGGTCATGTGATACAGAGCCACATGACCAACAGCACCATGGTAGAGGCAAAAGAGTAGGCCCAGCCCAGGGCAGGGGGGAGAAGATCCAGAACCAGCCTAAGCAGCTAAGACCATCTGTAATTCTACCAAAATGTCCAAATCTTAAGCTGCAGGATAGGCAGATTCTTCAACTAATGGTGTTGGGAAAAGTATCTATCCACATACAATATATGAACCTGGGTTTGAGTCTCTCCCCCTGTGCAATGAATCACAGACCTTCAAGTATGAGCTGGAAGAATGAACCTGCAGGGTAACACGAAGGAGAAAAATGTTCATATGTGGACATAGGGAACTAGTTTCTGAATAAAATTACAGATCACTCGGTATCCACACTCGTGGTCCTAAACAATAACAGACAACGGAGCAGGAGGAAGAACACAGAGATACATTATCAGTAGGAATTCCAACTCATTGCACCCACCATACAAGTAAATGTGCAGCTTTTTGTTTTTTGGGGTTTTTTGTTTTGTTTTTTCCAGACAGGATTTCTCTGTGTAGCTTTGCGCCTTTCCTCGAACTCACTCTGTAGCCCAGGCTGGCCTCAAACTCACAGAGATCCACCTGCCTCTGCCTCCTGAGTGCTGGGATTAAAGGCACACGCCACCACAGCCCGGCAAATATGCAGCTTTTTGAACAACCAAACAAGCACACACACACACACACACAAAATCACACTAGACTCAATTATATCACACATGTGGTTCTGTGTAGAATTACTACTAATTGAAACACATTCTTGTAAAGAGTGACTTCAGAAATTACTGTCTTAAGGGTGATCATAAGAGAAAACCTGTAGAAGATGCTAAAATGAAATTTATAAAGTAATTAAACTATAAGAATACCAATGAAAGACAAATGAACTCGGAAAAAGACATATAAGAAATAGAGGGAAAAAAATATCAAATGTTATGAGTTTGTTCTTGCCTGTCAGTGAGTTCTTCAAATACAAATGAATATCACCCAAAGAAAAGATACAAATAGAAACAGGCCTCAGCATTAAATATATATATATATACATATATATATATATACATTTACATACAGATAGATTAGATATAGGTAGGTAGATAGATAGTAGATAGATAGATAGATAGACAGAGAGGAAGGAAGGAAGGAAGAAAAAATTAAAATATAGCAATTCACTTCAAACATAAGAAAACAAAATACTAAGAGTAAAGGAATTTTTAAAAAAATGTTTACAAGGGTTGGGGATTTAGCTCAGAGGTAGAACACTTGCCTAGCAAGCGCAAGGCCCTGGGTTCGGTCCGCAGCTCTGAGAAAAAAAAAACAAAAACAAAAAAAAAAAATGTTTACAAGCCAGGCAGTGGTGGCACATGCCTTTAATCCCAGCACTGGGAGGCAGAAGCAGGTGGATCTCTGAGTTTGAGGCCAGCTTGGTCTACAGAGTAAGTTTCCAGGACAGTCAGAGTTACACAGAGAAACCTTATCGCAAAAAAAAAAAAAACAAAAAAAACAAAAAAAACAAAACAAAAAAA